GTGGTCTAATATATTTTAGTAATAAGCAGATAAGTTAAATGGCTGGCATTTTGGAAGCATCTTGGATATAAAATGCTGTAAATATGATGTACTTCTGCTACCCTGATGTATTTTAACACCTTTAGCACCAAAACTGCTTCCTACTTCCTTGGTGGCAGGATTACATGGCCAAGACCTGAACTCTGTCAGATGTGGCCTTTCCACCTTTGGGTAGTTTCTGCTTTATTCTGCCTGCGTAGTGTTATGAGTGTATTTGTTACTGCTCTCCTCCGCAAGTTATGAACCACTAAAACAAAAATCCCAAACTATAAATGAAAAGTAATTACTGTCATTATTTTTAACATAAAAACTGTTTCTTATTTGAGATTAAGCAATTTTTTTTACAGGGACTTCTTTAAAATTGTTACATTGTTACTTATCCCCAGTGAGGAGCCCTTTTTGCATGGGTATGCTTGCTTGCTCTTGTGTTGCTTTTTAAAACATTGCTTGCTTGTCATAATCGTGTTCATTTTTAGTTAAAACGTGCTAGTAGATGATCATAGTCACAAGAACACCACTGGGAATATATGGTAAAGTCGGCCACTTTTGCTTTCTGAATCTTTTGCAAAATCTGGACTTTTTTTTTTTTTTTTTTAAGTTTTCAAGGACTTGAAGGAAACCTTTGCCAGTTGTTAGGTAATTTATTTGTCACACATTCTTTCCTTGCCAGATACTCTTTGTTGCTGTTCTACTCTGTTTTGACAAGCAATTTCAGAGTTGCTTTACAAAACGTGTAAGCTTAAGTGGTGTGGACTGGTATTCATTTCAGGGCTTCTCACTTTCTTTCCCCTCCGGAGTCATCTTGCTTGATATCAGGGCTGATATGGACGTATGAGATAAGTGTCTTCCCAAAATAAAACTGACCCAGTTTTTTGAAAGCTTTTACTTCAGGGTGATTTTGACTGGGAAAGGCTTAAACTTAAAAACCATGAATTAATTTGCCATAGCAACTGGCCCAGTATGCTGGAATGCAGAATGTAATTAGTGGAAGTATTAATAAAGATTAAGTAAACTGATAGCTATACCCTATACATCAATACAATGATATTTCATGGTAGTTACATGCATCTCTTATCTCTAAGTAGTTTTTAAATAGATCTATTATTCTGGGGCAGGAGGGAAAGCAGAGGTTCCTCCTTGCAGGTATGGGAACAAGCATAAGGGAAGAATTGAGCTTTTGAAGTCCAGGTAATTGAGGACGATACCCATTTCTTTAGGATGAAACATTATCCAGACTGTGCGTTACTTTTGCTTATTCCTTTTTCAAGAGCCTAATCTAATAAGAGATTATTTCGAGTCGCTCTTTATTATCTCACAGTGTTCTTAGGAAGCAGTGAGCAACATTTTAGCTGATTGTTACAGACATTTTGTTGTGTTGTATCTGTTTGAAATAAAAATACTCTTATGGACTTTAACAGAGTCTCTTGCTTTATCAACGGATGTGTTTAAGAAAATAAGTAGATGATGAATCGTCTCGGGGCTGAAGGGACTCCATTTTTAACCTGTTCCAGAAATGATCACCAAAGTTTTTTTGTGTGTATTTTTTCTTCTATTTATTTATTTTTTTCTAGTTTTTTTCAGTTGGTTATGTTGGAGTATGAACCATCCTGTTCAGCGGTGGTTTTAGCATAGCTCACATACTTTCACCTACTGCAATTAATAAATATAACAAAAGTACAATGAATTCTAGATATATGTTAAAGTTGCTTTGAGAAATAGCATTATATTCTCTTGAAAGGACTCCATTAAATAATGCAGAGGACAAGTACAAAAGTCTAACAAAGCTTCTTAATGGGCACTAGCATTTTCTCATTTCTTAATGAAAATTCTCAGCCACAAATGAGAGACTGCTCTTATTTTGAGCTTTCTCAATATTGAGTGGCATCTATTGTGACCACTAAGCATGCAAAATAGAAATAATAAATCCAACTCAAATCCACAAATAGCCAGCTGAGCAATATATAGTGGAAGTTTATTTATTAGGTGCTTGCCGCTTGTGTCATGGGAGCGAAGGGGTCTGAAGGATTAATCTATTTACCAACTATCTGATGTTTTCAGTCATCTGATTTTTTCATTGTGGCTCCTTTATTGTAGAGTGTGGTCATTTCTGAGTTTAAAGAAATTTGCCTAAGACACTGCCAACTTTCTCTACAGCATCAAGTGTTCACTTAGATTTTTTGAAGGAGTCTGGTCAGTTTAAGAGGATAACTGATGTTTTTGTATACTCTAATCTTGATGCTTTTGATTCTATGACTCATAGCAAATATTCTCTTTTTTTTTTTTCCCTATTTGATGAAAAATTAAAGGAAAGCAGATTAGCATAGTTGCTTTTCATATGCAGTTAGTTTTTGGAAATAAGTTAGGCTAAAGCCACAGCATCAGAAGAGTCTAGTGGCTGTGCTCAGTATTTCAGCAGGTTTTCGAGTGGCAATGTGCTTGTATGTCTTTTATGCTTCAAGCTTTTTGGAAGGGCTTTTGAAAAGCGTATTAAATATTATTTTGTCTTTAGTGAAGCAGATAGTAGTGGAGTTGGATTTTGTCTTTACTGGATGGATAGCTAGTAAATGAAAATGTAGGTTGTAAATTGTTTGTACTGATTAAATTGAATTGGAGGGTAAGGGCGGCCAGTGTGTTCTGATACAAAAATATAACTCATTTTTTTGCATATGGATGAGATATAGTAACTTCTATAGGGAGATACTAAAACTTGATAGATTTTTAAAAAAAAGAATCTGGAGTTTGTAAATATTTAATAGCTTGAGTTCATTGATGATTAAGTGCTAGATTCCATGGCTGTGTCTTTCCAAGTTTTTTTTTGAGTAAAACAAATTTTTTTGCAACTCAGTGAAACATGCGGTCCTTACCTTATGGCATTGATGAACAGAAATTTTCTGATAAACTGATCTCCATATTGGGATTTGGAGCCATCTGTCATCCAATATATCACTATATGCTTTTTTTTCAGGAATGGACATTCAAAATGTGGGATGATGAACTGAGGATGGTCTTTTAACTGTGGATTTTATCCATGTGGGAGGGGATGCAGACACTTTAGAATCAGCGTTTACTACTGGCAAACTGGAGGAAAGAGCTGAAATAAATCTGTAAGAACTGGTGGAAAGTGCTACACTTCAAGTACAAATAATTGATCAAATAAATATAAGATGGGAGTTACTGATGAGACAGGCGGTTTGTGGAACATCATCTGATGATCTGTTGCAGATCATCAATAGCAGAGAAACATTGTTACTGCACAAAAAAAAAGGCACTGACATCCTACTGGTTTGCATAAAAAGAAAAAAAAAATCCTACTTGGAACACAGCAGATAATCTGTTTTGCTCAATGTCGTTGAAGCTTCAGGTGGAGCAGGGTGTCTAGTTTTGGCAGCATCAGTTGAGAAAGATGTGACCAATTAGAGAGAGTCCAGAGGAGATAAAAATGACCAACTGTCAAGGAAGGATGGTTGGAGAAAGCAGTGAGAACGGATGGTGTGCACTGCAGCCATGGCTCTCCTTCTCTGCGCATTGAAAAGGGGGTTTGTAAAGAAGGGAATAATCTCTCTGTGAAATGGACTGAAGTAATTAACCTAGGGAGGGAAACTTGGACATTGGGAAAAAATGTTAATAGTGGAAAGACTGGAGCTGTGTAATAAGCTGCCTAGAAAAGCCAAGGTAAGAACAGGTTAAATCAGTGTCTGTCAGGGTTGGTCGGTAGCTGGGGCCAGTAGATGGATGAGAGCGCAGTCTCTTTTAGCTACGTTTCTCTGAATATCTTGAAAATAACCATAATGAAAGTGACATGTCTAGGAGATGATATTGATTAGTGACAGTGAGGTTGTTTTTAGACAAACATTTCCTGGTCTTCAGAGCTCCAGACAATGTATCTAATGGCTGTATCTAATAAAGTCCTGAGGCAAAGAATCGTCTTCACCTTGATGCGAGAGAAATACCTCTTGCATTAGCTCCTGTACATCAAGCTGGCTATATTGGCTTGTTTTGTGGCCACTGATATGTATAAAAGAGGATATCTGTCACAGCAATTTCTTCTAGCTATCCAATGGCTTAAAGCAGTTGGTGTCTGCATGATATCTTGTTCTGTCTGTCTTCAATGCCAGCCCCTATTAGGGTGTGTGTGGAAGGCAATTTAATGGCCAGTTTTCAGTACCTGGCTCTCCCATGCTGTTCATTAGCAAAGTAGACCAGGACACAATAAAGACCGTGACTAGATTCTTGAAGCTGAACTGATTTTTGTCTTTACAACAGGAAAATACTGAAATTACTGTTTTTCAACAAATATTTAGCCATTTTCTCCTACAGAGGATATATTCTTTCATTTTAATAGGGTACTAATCATGTATTTGTGGAATGGAACTAGATAGCAAGATAAACAGATAGCAAACAGTTCCTTGGTCATTGAATGAGTCTTGACAAATAACATATGATGGATAAGGTAAAGAATGGCACAGGTCTGTTGTAAAAGGCTTGTGAGTTGTGTTTGAAAGTTGAAGGGAAAAAATCAATTAACAAAAGGCTCAAATACAAAAATTACATTTTCTGATCCCTTATTTCCTGAAGATGTAGGTGTGTCGGCCTTGCAGTTAGTAAAGATACTACCCTGAGTGCCTTTCCTTATCTTGCCATGATTTCTGTGATCAGTCTGGAAAACCTAAGGTGTGTTCAGTAATTGAAAATTAGTACAGATGCTGGCACTTTGTAGACTGCTTTAATGTCCTTTTAAAAATGCTAAAAATTGCTTCTCCTATGGTCTTATAATTGAGGGGAACAGGGTTTTTGGGGGTAGTGTCCGTATTAGAGGAGCATACCTTCTTAAATTTTGTTGTAGATTTTTTTTGTTTCTTCCCCTGGTCAAAGCAGAGCTTTAGTCTGGGCTATTATCCAAATGTAGTATTATATAATCTTTTTTTTTTTTAATGCTCCTTTTGAAAATGTTCTATTTTCAGGTCTCTGTCTTGAGAAGTTGCCAATTTCTTCTTCAGCTAGCAACCTCCATGTGGACCGTGAACAAGAAATTGTTACTTGCTATGAGAAGGCTGGGGATATTGCTCTCCTCTACCTTCAGGAGATAGAAAGGGTAAGCTGGGACAGCTTGTGGTTCTCAGTTGAAGAATCACACCATTCATTTTTCACTGATATCATGTGACTAGTATCCTTGTATTCAACTAAAAGGGAATGCTTGAGATTTGTTTTTTTAGGACTTCAGTGCCCACATGTTGAACAGTGACTTGGTGTTTCTTAACTGAAGTCTAGTACCTGTCACTATGACTGCTTTTGCTTTCTGATCTCTTGGGGAATAGTGCCAATATTCTCAAGGGGGACAAAGCTCCTCTGAACTACTGTGTGCAGTCAGGGTGCTCATATGTGTCCTCTTGTTACCCTGGGGTAGTTCATTTATGAACATGGGATTAAGATATATTTCAATATGTACATGTTATGTATACGCACTTGAATGCAGTCCTGTGCCACATGCTCTAGGTGACCCTGCGTGTGCAGAGGGGTTGGACTAGGTGACCTCTAGAGGTCCCTTCCAACCTTAACGATTCCGTGATTCTATGTAGCATTTCTGATAATTCTTTAAAAATCATTTTAAAAGACTTACTGAACAAGTCATCTGTGGAAGGACAAAGAATGGAATTGACAAAAATAAGCAGAGATGAGAAACTGATCCTGCTGATGTTTATTTGGAGCCAATAATTTATAATTAAATCATCTTAAATCCTCCTTATTACTTAAGGATAAAATACTGAAATAACTTTGTATTCCTCAGCAAGAGGCTTGACATATCAATGGTGCAACAAGAATGATAAATGAAAGTTCTTTCACTTCAATTAATTGTGATTTATTTACTTAATTATTTATTTTGTGTGTATGTGAGATTTAAAAAAAAAAAGTGATAGTTTTCATTTTGTTATAATAGCATGTCAATAATTGTTTGCCCAGGGTGAGTGTTTCTCTGGATGCCTGCAAATTTTTCATCTGAATCGGATGTAAATCATCTGAATCAAAAGCTGAATCAAAAGTGCAGAATGAATCTGCCTTTGAGCCAACGGTACTGCACACTTTTATTTAAAAGTGTGCATTATTTAAAATGGTCTAAGTGTTGTTACCGCTGCTGATTTGCTAAACATTTGTGCCTTTGTTATCTTCCAACATAGTTTTGGAAAATAGAGCAAGTGTGTTTGTATAGTTCATTTCTTCTTATGTTTGTGCTGCAAGTGATGTGAAGCTTTTCTGGTTCTGTGTTTTCTTTGCTCTGTTTTGTAATTTTTGTTGGTATTGTCTTTTTGTGTCTTTTAGACTGTCTAAAGAATGCAAATGAAATCTATAGCTCTCTGTTTTGAGGCAGCAGCTTTAGAATATTAATGTAATAAAAAATAATTTCTTTGTTCTTAATAATTTTTTTGGAAATCCTCTTTGGATATCATTTTTAAATTTCTAATTGTTTTCTGCAGCAGCCTTTCCTGACCTGAAAGAGTTTTAGATTTTGAATACCATCAAAACCTGCAGCTGAATAGAGCTGCAAATGATTTGTCAGACCCTTCTCTTTTGTATACCATTCTCCACAAGCTTCTAAATATGTCTTATAAGCTTTTTCTTAGGGGTAATACTGCATGACAAAGATGTAAATTTTAAAAAATTTAAAGGTATAGCCTTAAAGAGAAAGACTTTGAGTTGGAATAGAGGTAAATATTGAAATAATCTGACCTACAGCTGACCTACCATTTAAAAATGACTTTTCCAACATTAAGTATAAGTGTCTGTGTAAAACTTAATGAAACTCAAGTAGGGTGTGTGTTTTGCTTTTGTTTGTTTGTTTTACTTTTTTCTCTAAATATGATTTTACTCTTTTTTTTTCTCTTAGGTAATTAATACCAATATACAAAACAGGAGTCCTAAGCCAGGGCCTGCTGCACAGGAGCAAGAACTTGGCTTTTTCTTGGAAACAGGACTTCAAAGAGCACATGTTTTATATTTCAAGAATGGGTAAGATTTGGCTTATGCATCCTTGTTTTAGTTTGAGTTTTTGGTTTTCATTGGGCATAGCAGTTTTTAACAATTGTAGGTTGTGGGATCATGAGACTTTTTTATTAATAATGGAGTAACATTCTGGTTGAAATACTGAGACTTTCCATTCTTTATTTAAATTTTGTTAAATTCTTTCATTAAAGTATATGAACCCAAGACTTTAATATTTTTATTTTTTTAATATGAGAACTTGGGATATTTTCTTATGCTTTGTTGTTAGATATTCTTAAAAATGATTGAAAGCAAACTCCAATTCTTGATTTTTATAATTTTGATTTTGTAATTTTTTTTCCAAATCTCTTCAGTTATCACTTATTTTAACATTATGCTGCAGGATAAATGTGCATGAAGATCAACAGTATGTATACATACGGTCTCTGTTGTCCCTACTCTATAGATCCTTGTAGATTCTGCATGGGAGGTCATTCATAGTTTGTTAGAAAAGACTTCTATTCCGTTTCTAAAAATCTAGATGTTACAGAAAATGAAAAAAGGAATACAACCCTCTATTCATTTTTAAGAGCTTGGAAGCTTGGCACAAAAGGTTTTCAAGTACATTTCTGACATTTGTTGTTGAAAGCAGTTGCTTGTTTTACAATTGAAGTGTTGCTTATTTCCCAAGTAAACATGGTTTGACTGAAATATTGGCATTTTTGGTAGGACTACCTTTTTATTCCAAAAATGTTAAGCTTTAAAATACATAAGCAGGAGATGAAGGAAAATCATGCAGTGTCTGTAAAGAGTTCGAGATTTTTATGTAGTTTTAGCAGAGATGGTTTGTTGCTCCAAAGACCTTTAAGTTTTGAAAGCTTTCAGGGATGCCAGCATGGAAATGGTCACTGAACTGTAGAAATCTCATTCTTAGAATAATGAGGTAGAGCCTGAATAACCATGATCTGGGAGTTATGTTTTAGTTCTGCTTTCATCATTTAATTGCGGAAGGAATGGAATGTTCTGAAAGTTCAAATTTTCATTTACCAGAGCTAAAAATAAAGTTTCTGTTTTTTATGGCTGTGCAAAGATAACTGAAATACAAATATTGAAAGAATCTCAGTGGCAGTTATGGTAACAAATAAGGTAAAAATCCCATAGTTTTGAAGAAATTTGATTGAAGGCTGGAATTGGAAACAGTCTATTTAATCTGACACTTTGTGTGTTAAAGCAATCAGTATTGGAAAAAGCAGAGTAAGATAAATTAATCCCTTTTCCTTCTCCCCTCTCTGCCCCACTCTGCCCTCCTGCCCCAAAAAAAGAAAAAAAAACCCAAAGGTGCAGTGTGTTGTAGAGGAGTCTATAGAGAAGTTCTTGTTTTTCTCTTAGACCGTCATAGCTGGTCTGGTATAAATTTTTAAAGAAGGTTGGTTGTCTTCCCTGTACCCTTTAGTCCTACGTAGAGAAACCTGGTGTTGCCTCTTGTGTAAATATATAGTCAGCTTTTTTTGGAATCTTTATTACAATGGTTGATTGTAGCTTACAACTTAATTTTGCATTATACTTCTAATTATAAATTTCTTTTGGGTGGAAGAAGAAATGAGGTGTTAGGAAAAATAAAGCTGTGCCAATCATTATTCCCCATGTTGCTGTCCTTACATCCCATAGCCTCCTTCCTCGGTGTAGAGCCCACTTCAGTTCTTCCAAGACTTCCTAATATGGCCATTGCTGCGATGTTGCTTTTCTGGGGCCCTTCTTGTTTTCAGCTTGAATTTACCAGAACTGGACAGAGAACTGCTACTTTATGTTATATATATATATATAAATATATGTATATGTTCAAAGCATGAAGAGAATGCTGTAGATTTGTTCCTAGTGGAAAAAATGTGTTCATGTGTGTATAATATATATATATATATTTTTTTTTCTACTAGTGACAAGCTTACAGCATTCTTTAGAAGGCATTTATTTCAAAATTTCTTCACTGTCTTTTTGAGTTTACCATCTATCCTCCTCTTAGGTCTATAGAAACCAGATTTAAGATCTTTCCATTAAGCTTTGCAACATGATTCCACTTTAAATTTAATCTATAATTGTAGAGATGATATGAATATTGTCAAGTGTAGGAAACATTTTTAAGATAGGCAGCTTAGAACTGAAACATATTTGCTATAAACTTTGTTCCAATTGAAGCTGTAGATGTTGAAAGGTTGTGAATCTTGTGGAGGAATTGCTAGAGTTTAACTGTTTGTATGTGTTGGAGGAGGAGGAGATGAAAAATGTCTGTCTAGTTTTGGTGGTAGATTAAATCCACCAGTTTCATACTGCAGTGCAAAAGAATCTTAAAGTGAGGCTTGCTGTAAGAAGAAAACAAATCCTGTAATAAAAGCAACTTTGAGTTAACTGTAATCTGGCATTGTTTTGGGTCAGTTCAAATGTTTATCTTTTTATCTCAACTAGCATAATGGTCCTAACAGTTTATGCGTTAGAGCATGCTGATAGGATCTGATAATGATTGGGAAAATGGACATCAGTAAATGGATAAGTGATTTTTTTGTGTGTGTTTAAGGTTTGAGTTCAGCTCCAATAAGTCCTAATAAAGAGAACTCTTGAAGCTGCTGCAGAGTTGCAATAATTTGTTTGAAATGCTTTTGCTGTGAAATCTGTGCATGTTTTGGGGCTAGTTGGTTAATCACTGCTTTTAATTATGTTCTTTCTACCAAAGGTGAAATGCTGGGGCCTTAAAAATTGTACTGTTTTTTAATGTGTGTCACTTACAAGCTAAAAGAAAAAATCAGACAACTTTTATACTACCAGGAATGCAGAGAGAATTGCTGCTTACCCAGAATGCTGGCTGATCCACTTTACATTGCCCCTTTGCTCATTAACTGTACAGACATTTTCTTTTAAGCCAAGAAAGAAAGTTTTTGAGGTGGATTAAGTGAATATCTTACAGATATGCGTTATCTTGTATGAAAAATTATGAAGTGTTTGGAACCTCTGAAGCCCAACTGCTAAGTGCCAGCATTTGAAAATACATGAAAAAGCAATTATCCCCAAGAATAAAAGTGGCCATATGCTGAACAGAAAAATGTTACTTTAATGCTCTATTAAGACCCAAATCTGAAATTAATGTTTTCTTCCAAAATGTACCAACTTTAAGTAAAGACTCAAAAACTACATGCTCATGTTTTCCTTAGGAGCAGAGGAAATGCTCTAGTTGGAAGTGAGTTACAAGAAAATTAAGGAAGTTGTTTGGACACTATAAGTAGGCTCTGTGTGCCTTTTTTTTGATTTAAAATATGTAACCTTAAATGTTTTTCTGGTTGATTACACAGATTCCATCTGGTCTAGTAGCTGTGCTGTAAGCTCAGATTTAAAGATGAGTTCAAAGCCCTGATGTTGTGCCAAGAAAAGCCATGAGCTACAGAACTTTGACATTAAGACTTTAACATGGCTATTTTCAAGTAAGACGTCTCTGAGAAAGGAAGGACAGCATTTCATGTGCCCAGTAATCCCCGTGTCCTACTATTTTCTTATTTCTTTGTTTTCTATTCATATTACACGATAAACATGCTTTTAGAAAATTTGTAAATTTTTCTTTTATTTGTGGGGGGTGGGTAACTGCATAGAAAAATACTAGCTCTGTATAGCTTTTTGGTTGCAGTACAAAAGCAAGTGGCCATCACGTAGAAACCAAGCTCGCCTCATCTTCACTCTTGTGGTATCTCCTACGTGTGGCCCCCTCTCCCAGGACATTGCTCCTGCTGGATCTCCATCATGGGTCACCTGCTGCATCACAGCCTGAGGATGTGATGCGGCAGAGCTGTTCTGCTGGCAGAGCTTCCCCATCCTCCTCACAAAGTACAGTGACTCAGAGGTCTCCCTTTTGCCAATAGCAAGACAACCGAGCAGAAAAGAAATGTTTTTTTGCACACAAATGAGTTTTCTTGGCTCACAAAAATGCTTGATGAGCATAACGCTGGAGTATGGACCAACTGGAGAAATTGAGAGATGAGAGGAAGATCTTCCACAATACTAAAAAGTAACCTTAGAGTTGTGGTGAAATCCATCAGGTTTTCTTGTTAGACTAATCATTGGATGAGACCTGACCAGAGAAGTCTGTCAGCTTTGGAGAAGGTGGTTGCACCACAGCTCCTGTTGAGCTGCAGTCTGACTGTCACGGCCATTCCCCTTCCAGTTGCTGGTGGTTTATGCCCTTTTTTGGGAACTGTTGTCAGTTTTCAGTTACTTCTTTGAGTTACTGGTGTTAAAGACCTGCCTTTGTAGAAGTTCGTTCTTACATTTTCTTTTTTTTTCTGCCTGTCATGGCACGTGCAGGAATGTATCCTTTGGGTCGCTGAAGGGGATTGAGTGGTACTCGCTCTGGTATTTTAATTGCCTCTCTTCTGTTATTCTCTGCTTGCTCTGGAGTTTTTGCAGAGGGAGAAGGATTTAGGAAAATGCTCGGCATGCCTGCACATCAAGAGGCTTTGGAGGCATTTGCAGCCTGACGTTAAAATACGGTGCTGTTCATCCCTCCCTGAACGTGTTCAGATCTTATTGCATGCCCTGCATCGGTCACAGACCAAATAGGCCCTGAAAGAAAAAAGGAGAAAAAAAAATATAACGCTGTAAAGTATCACATTCTTGAAATGTGAAAATGAACGTGAAATATCACTGCTGTATTTGAAAGCAAACTGGAATTTATGGCTTTGACAACAACTTCATCATGGAGGTAGTTGTTGTATTTGCATAGTTGGAAGACTAAGCTGGAATACATTCTAGATAGGGACAAAATTCACTCTGACTAAGAAATATTGATTTCAAAAGCAACTTTATCTGTCATATCAGAAGCTTTTGTCCCCTTTTCTTAAGTGTTCTGTATTAGTTCTCATTGGAAAATACAATAGGCGTAAACATGAGGAGAAATTATTCCCTCTCATATTCAGATAAAATCATGTGTCAAAGGACTTGTCTTTTCTCTTGTCCATGTGTTTTGTGTGTACCTGGTCTGATTTAAGTTC